GAGAACAATGTTCATGGCTTCAATTTTAAAGTCACTGCTTGCACACTGGGCTAAAGGACTTGGAGTGGCTTTGATAAAGACCTAATGACAGGTCTTCAGGGTTGTGACTCATAACACCATGTCTCAGCTCTGTCACAAGAACAGAGCAGTCAGGATGCAGATGAAGCGGGGCGCTCACCTTTCCAGGAAGCAGGGCAGGGAGAGCCCTGTCAATGAGGTCACGTTCTTCCTGGATTCGCCTGTAACCCTCCGAGATGCTCATCAACAATTCATTCTCTGGCCTCTGAAGGACTTCTATAGAGAGGAAACACCAAATCACTGGTGCTGCACTTCTGGTCACACCCTTTACCACTGCTGTGATTCATGCGTAACCCCTTTACACTGTTCCCCACCAAATCCACCCCACCACCAGCTCACCTCCCCACAGCACCCATGGCCACCAGTACTAGCACTGTGGGGAGCCCTGAGAACACAGAATTAGACTGCAATGGCAATAGGATTAAACCTGGTTGGCTATGACCATTACACTTTGTTGTGGTGCCATCAAACTCCTCCATCTGCACACAGTGTCACAGAATGAGGCCTCAGCTTTTCTCACCTCCTATATATTTCTCCTGCTTCTTCCTGATTGCCATATTACGATACCAGTTTTGGAGAGCTTTGTGCTCTTCTAGTGAGGTCTGATGAACCTTTTTCTTCTTGTCTCCTCCATGTTTCTCTTTTAAAGCTGCTACGGTAACATCTGGATGAGAAGCCTCAATAAGATCTGCTAACTGAAGAGAAGGGAAACACTAAATTAACCTCTGCACGCACCCAGGGACACCACAATGAGAATGGGAGAGGCGAGAAGAAAAGAACTCTTCAGATTGACAGTACTTTTACCTTATCACCCAGAGAGAAACAAAACCAGGGCACTGGGAACACACTCAGAAACAATGGAAGGATTTATTTGAGTCATTCAACTCGAGCAATGGTATTGCTGCAACAGCAGCAGCACATACGGAAGTGGAAGCCACCGTAACTCTTCCCTCCATGACCTCCTCCTGCACACACAACACTTCTAAACCTGCTGGTGCAGTTTGTCTGAAGGTAAAGACCTCCCTGCAGAGCGTGACAAGGCTGGGAAAACCACACCTCAGGCCTGACCTGCTCCTGATAGGTGCTGGAGAGCATGAGAGGGTACAAGTGCCACAGAGCACCACTTCAGTGGCTTTATGAACTAACCCGAGGGTTTCCTTTGGCCAAGGCTTCCATCTTGAACTCCTGGAGACTCCCCAGAATGGGATGGGGGAGAATCTTTCCACAGCTGTTGGCAATTAAGGTTTGTCGGTCGGAAGATGTCGCACTGTACGGAAAGATAGGACCCCTCTCCGGAGGGCCAATAGCGTTTACCCTATGATGTAAACAGAAGCAGACGGAAGTGATGTTGTCACCCTAAGTCATATAAGGCCGTGGTGTTCACTAATAAACCCCATTTGCCATCCACCACATTGATGTGTGTTAGCTGAGGGACCCAGCGGCCTGGGATTGGTCGCTGTGCCGTTCCTGAACCAGGTCGCCACGCCTACGAAGGCAACAAGTGGTGCCGAAACCCGGGCATTTCACCTGGATTCGGGTGAACGGCGGCCGGAGCGGCTGGAGCAGCCAGGCGGGGAGGACGCTCCCGGACCTACAAGGGGGATGGAAGCCCTTGTGAAGGTCGTATCTCAGTTATATAAGCAGTGGGGTATTGATTGTAAACCCAAAGATTTTACTCTCGCAGTTGCGAGGCTTTTACAAATGGGGGTCATGGACCAGCCAGTGGGTATTTTCCACCCTGAGGTGTGGGATAAATGTACTAAAGCGTTAACCGAGGAGACGATGTCCTCGGGTCGTGGGAAAACCCCTTAAGTCGTGGGGGAAAGTGGTACATGCCTTGTAGAAGGCCATACGTGATGATTTTGTTGAGCTTAAAGATACGTGGGAAGACGATACACCCCCCCAATCCCTGAATCCCGACCTGCTTACGGAGGGACAGAAAGGAGCAAAATCCTTCTGGGGTGGGTTAGCCGAGGAAGCCAGAGGCGATGCGGGGAGATCGAAGTCCGAGGAAGTTTGGGTTAAAGCACCGCCCTACGCACCCCAAAATGGCGCCGAGCGGGGCGGGGCGAGGATGACCCCGGCGGGAGCGGAGGAAGTGCTAGAGTTAACAAGTGTGCGTAAATGAGGGGGGGGAGAACCGGAAAGGGGAGGGGAGTGAGGGGCGGAGAGCCAATCAGAGTACCCTGCCGAGCGGAAGGCGGGGCGAGTTAAGAGGGAGGGAACGCCCCGCCCGCAAGGGAGGTGGGCGGGGCAGGAGTACAACCAAAAGTTACTGGAACCCGGAAGTAGCCAGCCAGTCAACTTCCGGGTCAGATACTAGTTGGGGCGAAGGCTCGCAACTGATTCAAACTTAGAGGAAGAGGAGATGGGGGTAGGCAGAGTTAAAAGCCAAAATATCCCCATCCAAAATAAGGAGGAGCCGCGAAGGGGACAAATCCCCCTCACGGATTGGAAAAAAATAAAGATGGCGTGTGCCAATTGGGCCCCATCCACCGCTCTGGCGTTCCCTGTCCGGGTGACGAACGGGGGACTGAGTGTCCATTCACCAATAAATCCTAATGATGTACAAGCTATTGTTAAAGCAATCGCAGATAAAGGCCTTAATTCTGCTATGGTCTCCACTTTTATAGATGGTATCTTTGGGGGAGATGATATGCTCCCGTTTGATATAAAATTTGTAGACTGATTTTCGACAGGGCAGGAATGATTGTTTTTAAACAAGAATGGGAGGATAACTGCGTGAAACAGATGGCCCAGGTAACTGCGGCGGATCGCCCACTGCATGGCTCCAGCCTGCAGCGGTTAATGGGTACAGATCCCACAATGATTACCCCCCAGGCGCAAGCCCAGGGCTTGCGGGCCCATGAAGTTATGACAACTACTCGTGCGTCCAGAGAAGCTATTTGCACAGCCTCTAGAGTTATTGCTAAACCATCACCATGGTCCACAATAAAGCAAAATGAAAGCGAGAGCTTTACACAATTTGTGGATCGTCTCCAGTATCAACGGTCTTGGAAACTCTGAAAGCAAACGGATTCAAAATCGGGAGTGCGAAAATTAAAAGAGGACCATGCGTGAGTTTTTTGGGAGTGGGGATCACAAGTTCTTATGTAACTCATCCCCTAGTAAAAATCCGTCGGCACATTAAAATGCTCCATGATATGCAGCAGTTAGTAGGGTCTTTGCAATGGCTCCACAATATTGTCCTGATCCCTCCCGAAATCATGGCCCCCTGCACGACCTTTTAAAAGGGAAGAACCCATGGGAGCCAAAAACCCTGACGATGGAAGCAATGAACTCTCTTGATTTTATTGAGCAACAAATATCGTCAAGTACTCTCGCCAGGTGGAATCTGAATGTACCACTCCATCTGTATGTACATTTCACAGAAGGAGGGGGGTAGGGGCATTAGCCCAGGGCCCTTCTGAAAAAGCCCAACCAATACAATGGATAATCCTGGGAAAACCGTCACGTGCATTCTCTCCAGGAATCGAGTGCCTTAGTAATCTCATCATGAAAGGCAGAAAACTCGCCCTAAGACACCCAGGTATTGAACCCGCCAGGATATACCTACCCTTCCGCAAACAGCTTCCAACGCAGTCAGTGGCGATGTCAGAGTGTCTGGCCATAGCCCTTGTGGGATTTGGTGGAGAAGTCCGGTATGCTATGAAGCCTCTCTGGACTCAGATGCTGGCAACTGTCAACATCGACCTCCCACAGAAGATCATGGACCGGCCCCAACAGGGACCAACAGTCTTCATGGATGCATCTTCAGTGACTTCAACCGCAGCAGCGGTATGGCAGTCGGAAGGAGCATGGCACTGCATTAAAATGACCAACTGCACGCTTTCAGTCCAGCAACTAGAAGCGATGGCCGTAGTGTTAGCGTGCGGACTGTTCCCAATGGAACACCTCAACATAGTGACTGATTCGATGTTCGTGGCCAAGCTTTGCTCAGCCATGTCGGGGCCTGGTGTATCAACATCTACAATAGCTCTGATGCTAGAAGAAGCACCTTTTTCCCAAAAGGGTACCATATCAGTCATCCATGTCAACAGCCACAACCCAATCAAAGGCTTTTTTTCAAACCAGTAACGACAAAGCAGATGCCGCTGCAAAAGGATTGTGGACGCTAAGAGACGCCCGTCTTTTCCTTCTTGTCTGAAAAACAGATGAAGAAACCTCCTCTTCAGGCTCCCGAGGAAACACCAGCTTCCTCTCTCAGCCTGGCCGTTCATTGCTGAGCTCTGTTTAGTTCAGTGTATTTTGGGCTGGGGGTTTTAAGGTTGCACAATATAAATTCAGCATCAATTCTAATAGGAAAAACCGAACTCTGAGAAGCCACAAGGACCAAAGTGAGTCACCAGGATTCCACTGCCTCACACTTTATTCTACACATGACACACATACAGCCTGTGCTTCCCGCAGGGAGAACAAATTCCTGCCCCAGCCCTGGAGCACAATTCCAACAGCAAGGCACAGATTTTCACAGTGAAATAGCCCTTAAAGACCAACTCCCAGCCGACCCCAGGCACAGGGGACCACCAGGCAGACCCACCGCAGGGTTATGTGCCCCCTTATCCTGCGTCCACTCCAGCTGGGGCTGGGTTAAAACACGAGGATGATGAGGACGGGAGGGGAAGGCGCTGATTTGCAGTGGCTCTGGAGCAGCGGGGATGCTGGGCCCGGTGCTAGCCCCGGGTCATGCCCAGGGGGGTCCCGTCGAGCCGTACCCTGCGAGCTGCTGCCCTGGGTCTCCCTCCGGCTCAGCCCAGGCTGGGTCCCCCATGCCGGGCCGCACCACCCCGCCGCGCTCCGCTGCCGGACGCCATGGCAACAACGCCGCTTCCCGCGGGCACTGCGCAGGCGCCGGAGCCCCTCCCGCCCCGGCGCATGCGCACAGGCGCAGCGACGCCCGGTTACGATCCTTCCGCGGGACCGCATCCACTCACGGCACCGGGATCCTTCCGCCCGGGGCCCGGTGCAGGTCCCGGTGCGGCCGCGGCCCAGGCCCGCTGCAGCTGGCAGAGGAGGTCGGGCAGCAGCGCGTCCAGCACCGCCAGGCCCCGCGCCGTGCACCGTAGGCCGCTGCGGGGAAGCGTTGGTTGAGCCCCGGTACCGGAACTCCCCCCTCCGTCCCGGTACCCCCCCGGTGCTCACCCGTCATCCAGCACCATCCATCCCTGCTGCTGCAGCGCCTGCCCCGGTGCCCCGAACACGGCCTCCAGGCTGAGGTGTGGGGAGAAGCGGCCCCAGCGCTGCACGACCGGGGGCAGGCGTTAGCACCGGTGTTAGCGCTGTGGGGACCCCCGGCCCCGGAAGCTCCTCACTCACCTCCGGGGGGATGCCCTCGTCTGTCCGCAGACCCAGGGCGAGCACCTCCTCCAGCCTGCGGGCACATGGGGAGATGCAGAGAGTGCAGCAGAAGGGGAGTATGGAGGGGGGGGGACCATGGTCCTGTACTCACTGCTCCAGTGGGCTCAGCATCACCCGCTTCCCGGTGCCGTGGCCCCGGCTCTGCACTGCCCGCATCCAGGCGATGGGCTCCAGCACCTGGACACGAGCCTCCCGGCTGCAGCCACCCTCGCCCCGAGGTACAAACCGCCCGTGTGCCCCTGCAGCGGCAGAGAGGGGGCAGTGGAGCTTGGGGAGGCACACACAGGCATGTACGGCCCCAGTCACCCCTGCTTACCAGGCCCCACACCGATGTACTGCTCAGCCCGCCAGTAGGAGAGGTTGTGGGTGCTGAGGGCGCCCTGTGGAAGAGCGTTGTATGGGGTGATGGGGCTGAGCCTGCTGCAGGGGTGGCACAGCATGGGGGGGGGGGGTGCAGCACAGGGGGCACCCCACCTTCCTTGCGAAGTTGGAGACCTCGTAGTGCCGGAAGCCAGCAGCCACCAGCGTGGTGCGCGCTGCCTGGTACATGTCAGCCAGGAGGTCCTGGGGGGGCACAGGTAGGGCTCCCCCCAACACCTGTGCTGCCAGCGCTGTGCCCCGCTCCAGCGTCAGCTGGTACAGGGAGATGTGGTCATCGCAGAGCCCCAGCGCTGCCTCCAGCCTCTGGGTCCAAGCACCCAGGCTCTGCCGTGGCAGCCCGAAGATCAGGTCGATGGAGGTCCGGCCGGGGAAGAGGCCTCGTGCTGCCTCCACAGCCGCCTGTGCCTCCGTGGCCGTGTGCTCCCGGCCCAGCAGCCGCAGCTCAGCATCGTCCAGTGACTGCAGAGAGAGCACAGTGGCAGTGGGGAGCGCAGGGGGGCTGTGGGATGGGATGGGGAGAGCAGCTCTCACCTGTACTCCGATGGAGAGGCGGTTGATGCCGGCTGCCTTGAAGCCAGCGAGGCGCTGTGTGGTGGTGGAGCTGGGGTTGGCTTCCAGCGTGACCTCGGCACCAGCAGGGAGATGGGCAGCCCCTGCCACAGCCTCCAGCACCGCTGCGATGGTGCCAGGGCTGGCCAGGCTGGGGGTGCCACCACCAAAGAACACAGAGGTGATGCTGTAGGACAGATAATGGGGGGCTCTGGGGGGGCACTGAAGGGCTCTGTGTCCCCCCATTGTCCCCATGCACCCACCTCTTCACCTGGCTGAGCTGGAGCAGGGTGTGTGTCTCCTGCACCAGGCAGGCGCGCACAGCCGCCTCGTCCACCGCCGGCACCAGGTACGTGTTGAAGTTGCAGTAGGAGCAGCGCTTGCGGCAGTAGGGCCACTGCGGGCATGGGTGCCATGGGGTGCCATGGGGAATGGCAGCATGCTCACCCCAGGGCACCCTGCTTTGAGCACACAGCCCATGGGGGCCACCCTCCACATGCACAGCTCAGGGACCCACACAGCATCCCTACCGCTCCATGGCAAGGGAGCCCCATGTATGCACCATGACATCTACAAGGGCAGGGTGTCCTCACACGTGTGCACCCATATATACAAGCCCCAAGGTCCCACTTTCAGCCCCCCCAACATGCGCAAGCATCGGAGTCCCATGTGTACCCCCACACGTGCAAGCCCCGGGGTCCTTCCCCCCCCCACCGCCGTGTGCAACCCCGGGTTCCCCGCTCACATGCACGTAGACCGATGCTGCTGCGGGGGCAGCCGCTTCTGGGGCCGGTTCCGAGGCAGGACCCACTCCCGGTGCCCGTCCCGGGCCGGGCCGTGCCGCAGCGATCGCCGCCGCCCGCCGCCAGCCCCGCGCCGCCATGGGCCCCGCAGCCCCGCCCCGGGGCGGGCACCGCGCTCGGCCGCCCCTCGGTGGGGACGGGAAGGGAACGGGGCAGAGCCTGGAGCCGTGCCCCGGTGCGGTCCCGCACGCACGGTCCCAGCGAGGCTCTGGCACCCCCGGAGCTGCCCCCGTCCGGCGCTAGCGGAGGATGTGCCGCTTTCCTGTGCCTCCGCAAACAGCATTGACAGCCCCGGGCGTTATTAGCTCTGTTAACAGCCATGGGGGAGCGAGAGCTGCCTGCGGCACAAGTCACGGCACCAATTCCTGTTAACAGGCCACGAGTTTGGGGTATCCCACGCTTGATGTAACCCTCTCTGCCTGCCAAAGCCCCCGGCTTTCCGAGCTGGCAGCCAGAGCTATAGGAGCAGGAGCCCTGGAGCCTGCTGACAGCCACGGCGATCATCCCTTCCCCTCCTGTGCGCGTTTACAACCGGGATTGCTTTGTCCTGGTGGGCTGGGGTGGATGTGGGACTTCTCAAGAGGCGGCCTGGCTGGTGGGAGCCGAGCTCCTGCTGCTCTGCCTGCAGGAAGGGGCCTGTGCTGCCCTTCTCCCCAGGAAACCTCTGTCTTTTCTTGCTCTGCTTTCCCCTCGGTTGGCACCGCTTACCTGGGCTTTACTCGGCCTCCAAAATGCATTGCTTAAGTTCTCATCTGTTCCATTTTCCCTTGATTATCTCAATAAGGACATCAGGCATCAGCTCTGCAAGAGAGTCATCTTTCTTTGCTCCTTGCCTCTTCTCCAATCCCAGCCAGCAGAGTATCCAGAAGCATTCCTCCCTTGGTAAAACTATGGCTTTCTCCATAGTTTCTGGGCTTGAGAGAGCCTCCTCTTTTGCCCTTGACATCCCATGCCAATGGAGATTGCCGTTCCACAAGTGCAACGAGCTGGATGGCTGGGCCCTCCGTGGCTGTAGCAAGAACTGTTGTTGCCTGGCAGAGTGCAGCACTCAGAGGTCTGGATGCTTGTGGTCCCCCCAGCTGTACCCGGAGCACTCCTGGGCTGAGCAGGCATTTCCTGACAGCTGGAATAGAACTGTTGTGGAACACACACAGAGCTGAGGTCAGGATGGAACTGATGGCTAAAGCCAATCATCTTATGACCCTATAATTGTCCCAGGAGAGAGACACTTTGGGCTCTCCTGGACTGCAGTGAGCTGCAACCAGGTCGCTCCCTCTGAGTGGGGCACCCCTCAGAGTTCATATACTCTCAAGGTTACATTCCACTGCATGCACCGCTGGCCAGGTCTGAGACTAAGATAGGAGCCAGGAACACCCAGGCTCTGTCGGGAGTTTAGAGAGCAGTAGGGGTCTGTTCTGAATGTTGTCACTTAAGGGAAGGGTCCCCCTTACCCTTGTCACCTTCAGTCTCAATACAAATCATTTTAGCTTGGTTCTACCTTGATTTTCCTTTATGCATTCCATTAGACACAAACTGTTGACCAAGTCTAAGACTAAGACAAGATCCAGCCACATCCAGGCTCTGTCAGGAGTTTAGAAAGCAGGGGGGATCTGTTCTGAACCTCACGACTCAGCAGCAGGGTCTCCCTTGTATCTTTATGCCTTCAGGCCCTATATCCCCTATAGCCCCTTTAGCTCAGTTTCACCTCGATTTTGGCAAATTCTGTTCTATCATGCCTTATTTACAAACTGCTCTTGCTAATACCTTTGGTGGTCATTCTTTGAAGCATCATCAGCATCATCAGGAGCAGCAGCATTAGGATAAGGAGCAGCAGCAGCAGCAGCAGCAGGACTGACACTGACGAGGTGGCCGAGTGGTGAAGGCGATGGACTGCTAATCCATTGTGCTCTGCACACGTGGGTTCGAATCCCATCCTCGTCGATGAGCTCAGTGTTGCCCCAGATCAGACTTTGTTTTGAGGTGACAATGGCCTGAAGAGACTGGGCAAGGTTTTCACGTGGCTCAGCACACACCTCAACCTCTTCTGCCTGCACCTACCAAGAGGAACAAGAAGGGAAACAAGGGAGATCCATAAACTCACAGATCCCTGTTTCCTTGATCCCTGCAATGATGAGAGAGCAAAACACCTGGAAGTGTTTTACAAGAACAGGTAGCACAGGAAGGTGCTTGGGAGTTGGAAGCATGGATTTATGATGGAGAGAAGTCTTCCTTACCAAGCTGGTAGCCTTCTACAGGGAAGCAACTAACCTGGTGGAGAAGGCAAGAGCAGTGGATGTTGTTCACCTTGCCTTCAGAAAAGCTCAACAGGCAGTAAGATTGAAGAAGACAATATAAGTAAAGCAGTTTCTGTCACACAACATTTGAAGTAAGATTTTGATGGGAGACATTACTCTTACCTGTTTACAGAGTCTCAGAATCGCTGGGGGTGGAAGGGACCTCCGGAGATCCTTTAGTGCCAGCCAACTGCTCCAGCAGGGTCCCCTTGAGCTGCTTGTCTAGCACATAATCCAGTTGGGTTTTCAGCATCTCTAAGGACGGATGCTCCACAGCCTCTCAGGGCAACCTGGTCCACTCTTTGACCAGCCTCACGCTAAGACAGTGGTTTCCTGCCTTGAATTTCACATGTTTAATTTGTGCCCTTTACCCCTTGCCCTGCCGGTTGGTACTGCTGGGAAGAGTGGCTCCCTCTTCATCCTCTCCCATCAGGTGTGAGAAGAATCCCTGCTCCCACAGCACTCACAGCCTCCCCTCATACTTGAGACATGCACAGCCCTTAACCAGTTGTGTGACAAAGCAGGGATCTGCAGAGGAGACCCATGTGGAGGCAGGAGGAGGCAGCAGCCATCCATGCTACCGAGGGCTCTGCTGTCCCGGGTGGTCAGGAGCGACTTGGCAGAGGTCTGAGGGCCAGGGATGGTCCAGGGTGGGTCTGAAAGGCTCAGAGGCAGCTGGAGCATCTTTCTGCCAGCACCACCTCCCCTCTCTTACAACACATTCGTGCTCCTGCCCCTCTGAGCACCTGCCTCCCTCTCCTAATCCCTGCACATTCCCTGGGGATAGCTCTTGCCACAGCCTTTTGCTCTGCCCACCCTGCCCCACTTCCCAAGAGCTGGCACTGCCAGGGATGCCTCGTGGTGATCGGTACCTGTGACCAGCACGCAAAGAAGATGCATGGGAGAGAGGGGACTGGGGTTTGGCCAAAGGGCTCAGAGTGCTGCTGATCCCACCCCACACCGCTTCCCCCTGCAGCCTCCCCCAGCTAAATGGGACCACTGCCCCCAGTGCCCTGGCTCTGAGGGACAGTGCGTGGGAGATGAGATGCTTCATCAGCACCTTCATCTCAGTGGCCAGGCGCAGGGAGGAGCAGGAGAGCAGAACTCTCTCTCAGAGACGAGCTGGTTGGGCAGCCCTGGAAGATCCCTCTCTGCTGGGTGCTCCTGCACCCAGAGCCCAGCAGAGCTCCAGCTGCCCCAGCTCCAGCCTGCCGTGGTTCAAACCCAGCCAGTACCTCAGCACCACGCACCCTGCTCCCAGCCCAGGCTGGATGGAAGGGATGGAAAAGCCACTGGGTGTGAGAACAGCAGTTTAGTAACTAAAATAAAGTACGATATTATAATAACAATATTATACTACTAATAAATAACAACAATAACTACTAAAGCACAATTAATTATAACAACAATAAAGTATGATATAAATATGACGATAATAAAATACAATTATGATAACAAATACAATAATGATGATAATAATTGTAATAATGGTGATGATGATGATGATAGTAATGAGAATAATAATGATAATAAAAGCAATAATAAATATGAGGATAATGATGATAATGAGGATTGTCGTGGTTTAAGCCCAGCCACAAACCAAGAACCACGCAGCCACTCGCTCACTCCCCCCTCTTCCTCCCCCAGCTCCTGGAGGGATGGGGAGGAGAACGGAAAGACTAACTCCCATGGGCTGAGATAAGAACAGTCCAGTAACTACGGGATAACACAAACCACTGCTGCTACCAAGGAACCAAGGACCTTGGTCAGCTGAGTTCTACTCTCAGGTACTGGCTTCACCATTCCAGGTCAAACGTGCAGTTTCTGTAGTTTTTCACATCAAATCTCCATTGAGTAGCATTTGTAAAGTGCTTTGAGATAGCGCCATGAAAACACTAAGTTAGAGGAAGGGCAAAATATCTCTTAGCAGCACCTATCTGCTTACTATTACTACATGTTTCTCTTTTTTTCCCTCAGAGCAGCATCACTGTATTCTGCTTTGCCCTCACACTAAGAGTCTGGTGCCAGCGATGGAGAAGGCACACAGCAAAAGCTGTTGCTGCAGGGCAATGAAAGGATGCACTGGAAAACATGAGGATGTTTTCTGGAAGGATGAAGGAAGCAGAGCTCCAGAGGAGGATGGGTGTTTCCTTCCCAGATGGATATTTCCTTCCCAGCTACATTAGGAAAGGAGTGCCCCATACAGATTGATGTGCACAAAGCTATGCAGGAGGCTTTAGGGAGTATAAATATTTGCAAACAAGGAGAGGTAGTGCTAATCCTACAAATAAAATCAAAACCAAGACATTGATGCTTTTTTGGGGGAGGACATAACTGCTCTTTAGAAGCCATGGTCTGAGGACTGTTAAATACCTAGTAGTAAAATCTTGCTGCCTTTCCAGTTGACAGCAACTGGTCTCCAGTTAGCAGCTTCACAAAAGCAATCCTTGTGTGAATAGATAAAGCTTCCCCAGGTTTCTATAAGGTTAATCTTACCATTAGAATTGCGCTTTAAAAACAGGCATCGATCCCCACGCACTCTCCCCAAACACCTCCTCGACTTAGGAAAGTGGAAAGAAAGGCTACAGTTATTCACTGTCCTACAGGTACCGGGGTTTGAGAGCTTTGATTGAGGTGTCTGAAGGAAAGGGACAGTTTTGAGCTCAGGGAAAAACCCAGCAGGTTTCACAGCTTGGCTTGCATTGGCTTCAGGTGTTTGTGGAAAGGGTCATGAGCCTGTAAGAGACAGTGGTTACAAGCAGATCAGGCCTCATCTTTAAACCGTTCCAGCTCGTCTCAT